CATTGGTCAGATGTGTGTTTATTTATTGACAAAATAGAGGAACAGAAATCTAATTTTGAACAAATTATGCAAAGTGATAAAGAAATTGTCCTCCATTATTTTAAAAATGTTAATGATATATTGGACCTCAAAAAATTATTTTCTACATGCCTTACATGATGTTGGAGCTATCACTGTTGAGGAATATCTTCCATAAATTGAAAAGATAAAAGAAATAAGAAAAAGCAGCTTGAATCGATGCCATTGGCTATAACTTTAGAAGAAGAGGAATCTTCACTTAAATTTCTTGAAAAAGCCTATAATATTCTTCAGTGTATTCAAAGCTTGAAACAAAGACAACTTCCTGCCATCACATCTCTTGAAATTTATCCATGAATTGACCAGATATTGAAGGAAATGTGGTCAAGAATTGAAATAGGTCAGCTTAAAAAAACAAAAAACAGAAAACTTACAGTTTCAGAAATAATGTGTTCCTCTAAAAGGAAATTATGTATCAAGGCCAAAAAGGAAGAGAAGAAAATTGATTTTTTTTAAGTTTTTAAGCATTTTTATGTTGACAATCATTTCAGGAATATTGATGTTGATATTTTTCTTTAACAAACATGCTGCTCATTTTAAATGATGTAACTCACAATGTTTCTCAGAAGTTTCTTAATCTCTGTATCTCACTTTGTTTAACAATATCTACACAGTGAAGGAAATATCATGTTATAATTATACAATGAAGGAATTAATATGTAACGTCATATCCTATTGTTTCTGAGGATTCAAATCTGAATTACACTTGCTTCTCTTTTGTCAATTCTTGGAGGCAGGTAGGTGGTGCAGTGATTAGAGTACTGGGCCTGGAGTCAGAAAAGACTCATTTTTCTGAGTTCAAATCTAGCCTCAGACACTTACTAGTTGTGTGACCCTGGGCAAGTCACTTACCCCTGTTTACCTCAGTTTCCTCATCTGTAAAATGAGCTGGAGAAGGAAAGGCCAAACCACTCCAGTGTCTTTGCCAAGAAAACCCCAGATGGGGTCACAAAAGGTCAGACATGACTGGAACAACTAAACAAAAACAACGGTCTATTCTTAATTAACTATGTTAAGTGGGAAGATGATATGATAAACGAAAGCTCAACCTTAAATTAGAGCTGCAAGAAATAGCAAAATTTCACCTTTATTTTGTAATGGCTAATTTTGGTAGAGGTAATGAGCCAAAAGGCAAGGAAAGAGGAAAAGTAGAATGCTTGGATAGTGAACTCCTAAATTAATCAAAGATAATCATAGTTTTCTAATAGTTATTTTGAATCAAGATTACTCAAAATATACTTATGCTATTTTGGCCAAAAAAGTGTTGACTGCTTTAAATTTAAAAAAAACCCAACCTGTTTCAAGCTTGAAGCCCATGTTATACTTCCTACAGACTCTCTCCCTACTCCCATCTATCTTATACATTACCGTTCAAGTACTAACACAGAAGTTTGATCAAATCATTCCCTTGCTAAAACAACAGCAGCAGCCTTCAGTTTTTCTCTGTTGCCAACAGAATAAGTTCAAGAGACAGTTTGGTATTCAAGGTGTCAAATCATTCACCAGAAGATAAAGTTAGCCACTAGCACTAAGGCTATGCAATTAAGTTCTTGCAGGAAAAATTATTACAGGAACTCAATGGTGCTGTTTAGGTTGATATATGATGACAAGGTGTTCCTATCCATCATCTCCTTTTGGAAGGAACTGAAGAATCTTGCCGACTTCTGGCTTTGTGCCTTAAAGGAGACACCATTGTAGGATCCAGGAACCAAACATAAGAATCCTCTACAACTGTCCCCAACATACCTTTCCAGTCTCATTTCATGCTATGTTCATTCCTGTTTCCATCAGAATGGGAAACCTGTAGTGAAGCAATATCACCAATCACCTGTAACTTAGAAGATAGATCTTCATTTCCTGAGGCTCAGGAGTTCAGTGATTTGCTCAGGGTCAACACAACTAGAATCTGTCAAAGACAGGATTTGAATCTGGGTCTTTCTTGCTCCAAGTATAGCACTCTCTCTATTCTGCCAAATTTCCCCTTCCTTTCCCCTATAATCCAGCTAAATTAGATGACTTGGCATTTTTTTATTTCCTCCTAAATTTCTATGATGTAATCTTTCCCCCCACTTAATAGCATTTTATTTTTTCCAATTACATGTAAAGATAGTTTTCAACATTTTGAGTTCCAAATTCTTTTCTCCCTTCTTCCTCTCCCAAAAAGCAAGGAATCTGATTTAGGCTATACATGTACAATCATATTAAACGTATTTCCACATTAGTCATGTTGTGAAAGAAGAATCAGAACAAAAGGGAAAAACCATGAGAAAGGAAAAAAGAGAGATAAAATATTATGTTTCAATCTGTATTCAGACTCCATAGTTCTTTCCCTGGATGTGGATTTTCCATCATGAATGACTTGGCATTCTTCAAAGATACTAGTGCACACATTCCTCTATCTGTAACTTTGCTCATAATATCCTCTATGCCTGAAATGCCCTTCATCCCAGACTGGCTTATTAAAATCTGATCCCTCCTTCAGTCACTAATTCATAAGACACCTCTTATAAGAAGTCATTTTCAACTCACTCAACCAAATGGAATTCCACTCCAAATTTCTATAGCATTTAATTAATATTTTTAAAAAACCCACTACAGGCTCAGATTCTTACAATCCAGCCACATGCTCGGATTCTTTAGCCACTGCTCATATTCTTACAATCTAGCCAGTAGCTCACTAATGTTCAGACTCCTTAAGAGTCTGACCAATATGACTGATGTTCTAATAAACCTTGTTTTTGGCTGAAACCCCCATCCCCCCCACTATACTTTATCTTATATTGTAACTGTGTCATTTCAACTATTCTTTGGGACCTGGTATCATATTTTATTCATCTCTAACTTTTGGAATGCCTGGCCTTGAACTTCTGCAGATCCTAAGCTGATTGCATCCCCAAACACAAGTAAGACACAGAGACAGAGAAGGACAGAGAGGAAACAAAGACACTATGACTGTCAACTAAGACCAGAGAACAACCACCTTATCATTCACAAGAAGATGAAGAGTTAGCAACCAGCAACTGTTGTATGCAGTTTGGAGCAAGGAATAGCTCTTGCTTAAGGTTAATGATGCTGAAAAAGTTGTTGCACAGAAAAAAGTTATCTATTCTTAGTTTCTTATAAGTATACGTGAGTAGTATCTTCTCAATGCTCCACGGGCTATACATAAATACTACTGTTGTACATCTTTGAGGTAGCTAGGTGGTATAGTGGGTAGAATGTTGGACCTGGAGTCAGAAAGACCTGAATTCAAATCTAGCCTCAGACACATGATAGCTGCGTGGCCCTGGGAAAGTCACTTAACCACCTCTGTTTTAATCTCTTTATCTGCAAAATGGAGATAATAATAGCACCTATGCCTCAGGGTTGTTGTGAGAATAAAATGAGATAATATTTGTAAAGGTCTTTGCAAACTTTAAAGCATTATATAAATGTTATTATCATCACTAATGGCTTCTCAATACCAGAGAGGTAATATCTTTTGTTGCTTTATTGTGAGTCTGTTATACATTCTTGATGAGGAAATCTGTGCTAGATGTTAAGAATCACAGCATCACAGATCTCAAAACCATAAAGGACTTTGTTGTTGTTCACAGCTCTTTGTGACTCCATTTGGGGTTTCCTTGGAAAAGATACTGGAGTGATTTGCCATTTCCTTCTCCAGATGGTTTTACAGATGAGAAAACTCAGGCAAACAAGGTTAAGTGACTTGCCCAGAGTCACACAGCTGATAAGTGTCTGAAGTCAGATTTGAACTCAGGTCTTTCTAACTCCAGGCCCAGCACTGCATTCACTGCACTATCTGGCTATCCCCTAAGGAACTTTAAAGGCCATCTAATCCAACCTCTTCATTTAGCTGATGAGAAAACTTAGGCCTTAGGAGGGTTAAGTGACTTGTCTAAGGTAATGCTGACAGTTCAGTGCCAAAAGTAGGAGTTCAACCCAGGTCCTCTCACTATATTACTCTTTTCACTGTACCACATTATAGATCTATAGATGAATTTGAGCATAATTTTAATTTTAGCATATCTACATATGTATATATATATGTGTGTGTGTGTGTGTGTGTAAGTTTGTGAGTTTGTGCCTCTGTATACTTCTATAGGTATGTACATACATGCATACATACACACACACACACAAACATACATACATACATACATACAGTAAAGATCTGAAATCTCAGGGTGGAGTACTTCCCAGTATAGGAAATCCCTTTGCCAATAAAGATGACAACCTATCTGTGACTTAATAGCTCAGTCCTAAATTTTGCCTGAGGCACACGAAAGTTAAGTAATTTGACCAAGATCACACAGCTGGTATCAGACTGAGGATCTTAGTACAGGTTCTCTTGACTCCAAACTCATTATTGTACCTACTATACCATACTGGAAGGAAGGAAGGAAAGAAACATTTTTAAGTACTTACTATGTGCCGGGCACGGTGATAAGTAATTTACAAATATTATCTTTTGATTTTTTTTATCTCATAAATGCTTTGGAAGCTTGCGCATTAATTTTAATAACAGAAATCTACATAAAAGTTAATGAACTAAGATAAATAACTAGGAATTTCAGCACTATGTCCAAAAATTTCAAAAACTCAAAAGCTGTGTGCCTCCTACCTCATCTATCAAGGTTACAGAAGAAAGTTATTAAGAAACACTTCCTCTCAAGATGGAAGACAAAACTAGAGGAGACCTAGATAGCCCTTGGAACTTGGCCTCCTTCATGAAGAAGCCACCAGCGGATCAATAAGCATTTATTGTGGTCCTACCATGTATTCAGGAAAATTTGACTTTAGTTAATGTGGATTATCTTTGTAGATGATCAAGTGGAATGGGGGGAAGGTGGAAGGTAAGTTCCTCCACTTGATGTTATGACCTTATCCAAATATCAAACATGTTCTGTTCCTGTTGAAAGGGTGAACTTGGAGTGTCCTCCATTGCTGGAAGACCCTTTGCTAATCTCCTTGGGTAAAAAATACCATAAGTCACCAGCACAAATCTGTCTACGTTTCAATATCCAACGAGGGATAGTTGTTATTCCCAGAAGTTTTAATGCGGAAAGGATAAAAGAAAACTTCCAGGTAAGAGACTAGTTTGTGGAACTACATAAAAAGGTATCACTAGAATGGGCACTACATCTTTAATCTAGGGACTGCAAATAGCAATGACAATGAGGTGAATCCCCAATACTCAACCAGAAGTAGCATCTTTATTTGTTTTCTTAGTGACCTCTTACCTAGGGTCACTTCCTTGTGTCTAGATTTAATCTGACTGAATTATAGCTAATGATCAATTATTCAGGGGCTAAATTTCTAATTTGTGAATTATCCACTTCCATTATTTTTCCTGTTTTCTTCTTCTGTCATCTCTTGCCATTACTTATTAAGTGAGAAGGGGGAAATTCTCACTTGTTAAGTGAGAATGGGAAAAAAACTTGAAACTTTTACCACTCAAACTTTTCTAATTGTTAATATATCTGGATTAATTAAAAAAAAAGTTTAGTGCAGGCACAGGCAGATATTAATGAGACTTGGAGATCATCTAGATTTCAACCACCTGTGTCTGCTTTCAATGTAAGCAACTGATAACCAACCCTATAATGTCAGCTTCTTTTTGTGCAGTAAAAACAAAAATTAAAGAATTAGCCAGATTAAATGACTATGCTATGACTTCAGAATGAGAAAACTGAACCAATAAACAAAAAGCTAGGAGTTACAGAATCACCCTTGTTAATAGCTCAGCTAAAGATCAAATACTAGGTAGTGTCTATTACCAAAATTAAAAATCAATTAAATTTGTAACTAATCATTTAGCTCACAATTCTGTTCCAAAGTTAAATTCTTAGGTTGTTTAATTGATGGCATTTGAATGTGAAATGTTTTTGCTTAGCTTGATTTCATCATATGAAATTCAAAGATATTAAAAGCTTCTGATCCAAATAGAACATCCTAGTCAATGAACAACTAGCCTTTTTAATTGAAAGGAAGCCAGAAAGATAATTTATAACTTTGCTTGTTGTTTTTCCCTCTTGTAAATATTAGGCAGCATTTTGCCTTTAAATATTAAAGCTGCAAAATGCAAACCATGTTCCCAAAAAATTGCTGTTCCTGTGTTTTCACCAATCTTGAAGACTGAGTCAATCAAATGCTTGACTGAGATATAGGTAGATTCCAGAGGTGTGCTAAAGCCAGCTCATACTGGTTTTCACAAGCTAATTGTGGGGCAGTTAGGTGGCACAGTGGATAGAGCACAGGCCCTGGAGTCAGGAGGATCTGAGTTCAAATCTGACCCCTCACTAGCTGTGTGACTCTGGGCAAGTCACTTAGTCCCAATTGCCTCATCAAAAAAAAAAAGAGCTAATTGTTCAATTTCCAGTGGAAAATAAGCAAATGTTATAAATCAGAGCTAGATTTATCTTGTTGTTAGTTGTCTAAACTTAAGAAAGTGATGCAGAAAATATTAATAATGCAATTAAACTCAAAAGGTTGTCATTGGGGTAGAGGGAAGAGAGAGCTGATTGTTAAACATTTACCAACACAATAACATACAACAGAATGACTTCTCATACTGCTCAGCTGCCAAAAAGGTAGAGAAGAGCACTAAGGCCAGAAGGGGATTACAGGAAAGGCAAGAAGATCACCGTGAACTAGAATTTCCATAAACTTTCCCATTGGAGCCTCAAAACATTGATTTCTTGGGAACTGGCTTATAGCAGATTATACTTGGCTTTCCAGGGGACGTTTGAATCTATAGGAATTTATGGGATTAACCAATCATTGTTTTATACTGGCAATCATCATCCTACTTAGAAGCTTCAGTGTGTATTGTGATGCTCCTGGAATTATCTCACTCTTTCTTATTTTCCTTGTATCAGGTCTTTGACTTCTCACTCACTGATGAAGAAATGGAGAACATTAAAGCCTTGAATAAAAATATTCGCTTTGTGCAGCTTCTCATGTAAGTTCTGGGGCCTTCTCTATCAGACACCATTGGATTTAGGAGACTCAGCCTTCAGGACTAGGTCCTCTTTCATAAACCATTCAAATACTGCCTGCGTGAGAGAACTAATTGGGCAGGCAGCAGTGATGTAATAGAAAGAACATTGGTTTAGGACTCAGAACATGTGAGTTCTAATCTTGGTTCTGCCATGAATCAGCTATTTGACCTTGGGGAAGTCATCTAAACTCTCTGGGTGTCAGTTTCCTCATCTGTAAAATGAAATACATAATCTCTACAATCTCTTTAAAATAACTTATTTATTTTTGACTTAAACAAATATCAATAAACACAAATCCAAATAAAGTCAACAAGCATTTATTAGGTACCTACTAAGTTCCAGATTGTGTTAAGAGTAGGGATACCAAGACAGGCAAAAAACAATCCCTGAAACAGCTCACAATATGAGAGACAACATGCTAGTAACTATGTACAATATAAATACAAGATAAATCAGAAATAGTCAATAGAGGGAAGGTACCAGCATTAAGAGAGATCAGGAAAGGCTCCTTGCAGAAGATAATGGTTTTTTTTTTACTTTTTTTTTTCAATCATCAAGCATTCTTTTTATTAAAAAAATTTTTATTAAAGAAAGAGAAGAAAGAAAGAAAGAAAGAAAGAGGGAGGGAGGAAGGAAGAAAAGAAAATGCCTGTATTGTATCAAGCAAAGCATTATCATATTGGTTCATTACATTTGTCAGAAAGTAGACAGTATTCCTTATCAATTTTCTGTAATCATAATTGATCATTTGATCAGAGGCCTTAAGTCTTTCAAAATTATTCATTTGTATAATATTTATATCATAGTATAAATTCTAGTTCTTCTAGTTCTATTCACTTTACCACATATCATTTCATTCAAGTCTTTCCATATTTCTTTTAAATCATCTTTTTCCTCATTTCTTCCAGCACAATAGTATAATTCCATTACATTCCTCTACCAAAATTTATTCAGTTGTTCCCCAATTAATGGGCACCCACTTTGTTTCTAGTACTTTGCCACCACAAAAAGTTGCTATAGATATTTTTGTTCACATAGGAACTTTTTCTTTTTCTTTAGGGGTGTAGGCCTAATAGCAGTACAGTTGGATCAAAGGACATGCATTGTTTAATAATCTGTTATGCATAATTCCAAACTGCTTTCCAGAATGGTTGGATCCCATTCTTAGCTTCAGCAACAGCTCATAAATGTACCTTTTATCTTGAAGCTTCTCCAAAATTTGTGAATTTTTCTGGTCAATCTGATGGTTATGAGATAGGACCTCAGAGTTCCTTTATTAATTACTAGTGATTTGGAGCATTTTTTAAAATATGGCTATATATATAGCTTAGGTTTTTTCCCTTGAGAGCTACTTGCTCATATCCTTAGACCATTTATCAATTCATGAATGGCCCTTAATTTTATGAATTTGAATCAGTTTCTTGCATATGTCTAAAATATATATAGTTCTTTGTCAGAACTTGCTGCAAAGATTTTTTTCCCAGTTAACTGATTCCATTCTAACCTTAGCTATATTCAATTTACTTGTGCAAAAACTTTTTAATTTTATGAAACCAAAATTTTATATTTTATCATTTGTACTCCTCTCTGTCCCTTGTTTAGTCATGGATTCTTCCCTAACTCATATCTCATCAGCAATTTTTGCCTTTTCTCTCTAGTTTGTTTATGATGTGACCTTTTATGTCTAGGTGACATGTCCATTCAAACTTATCATGGTATATGGTGTGAGGTAATGTTCTAAATTTAATTTCTCCCATACTGCTGTCCAATTTTCCCAGAAGATTTTATCTAAAAGTAAATCCTTTTCCCAGTAGCTAGAGTCTTTGTGTTTATCAAACACTGGATTCCTAAGTGTGTTTGTTTCTGTATATTGTGTATATAATCTGATCCAGTGATTAATCTCTATTTTTTAACCAGTTCCATATTATTTTGAGAATTGCTGCTTTATAATATAGATTTAGAGGTGATACTGCTAGCCTCCCATTATTCACACTTTTTTTCATTATTTCCCTGGAGATTCTTGATTCTTTGTGACCTCTTATGAATGTCATTATTATTATTCTTGCTCTATAAAGTAATCCTTTGGTAGTCTGATGGTTGTGGCATTTAATAAATAAAATAACTTAGGCGGTATTACTTTTTTACATCGACTTGGCCTTCCCTGAGCAATTAATATTTCTCAAAAATATGGGTTTAACTTTATTTTTGTAAATAGTGGTTATTAGTTGTATTTATATAGTTCTTATATGTATTTGGAAGGTAGACTCCCTTTACACATTCTATAATAATTTTAAATGAAATTTCTCTTTCTATCTCTTCTTGCTAGCTTTTAATGGCATTCTAGAGAAATTCTGATGGATTGCATGGATTTATTTTATATCCTAAAACTTTACAGAAGTTATTATTTCAATTAATTTTTAGTTTGACTCTAGGATTCTTTAACTACACCATCACAACACCTGCAAAAATTGATCATTTTGTTTCTTAGTTACCTTTGCTTATTCCATCAATTTCTTTTTATTGTCTTTTTGTTATAGCCAGTATATCTAGTACTATGTCAAATAGAAGTGTGATGATGGATATCCCTGTTTCACATCTCAGTTTATTGAAAAGGATTCTAGTTTACCCCCATTACATATAATGCTGACTCTTGGTTTTAGATGTACGTTATCATGTGCAAAAAAAAGGTCCATTTATTCCTGTTTTCTTACGTTTTTAATGGAGATAGGCACGGTATTATATCAAAAGTTTTCTACTTCTAGAGATATAATCGTGTGATTTTTTTTATTAATATGATTAAGATTGTAATTTTACTAGTATTAAGACAACTCTGCATTGCTACTACAAATCCTACCTGATCATACAATATAATCTTTGGGATATGTTGTTTTGCCCTTTTTTCTATGATTTTATGTGAAATTTTTGTATCAATATTCATTAAGAATATTGGTCAATTTTTTTTTCTTTTTTCACTTTCCCTATTGTAGGTATTAACACAACATTTGTATCATAGAAAGAATTTGATAGGATCTTTTCTTTTACAATTCTGTAAATAGTTTAGATAATATTGGATTTAATTCTTCTTTGAATGTTTGATAGAACTCACTTGAATCTAGCTGGTCCTGGGTTTCTCTCCCCACCCCTCCATACCCAAGGTTCATTTATGGCTTGTTCAGTTTCTTCCTTCAAGATGAGGTTTTTTAAATTTTTTTATTTCTTGTTCTATTAATCTGGATATTTTATAATTTTTTAAATATCAATTCATTTCATTTAGGCTGTGAATTTTACTGGCATATAGTTGGGCAAAATAGTTTAATAATATCTTTTCTTCTTCAATTGTTGTCAATTCTCTTTTTAAAATTTTAATACTGATAATTTGGTTATCTTCTTTTAAATCAAATTGACTTGTTTTTTTCTATTTTATTGCCCATCTCCACAAATTCCTAGTTTTATTTATTAATTCAATGAAGTTTTTGCTTTCAATTTTGTTAATCTCTTCCTCAATTTTCCTGATTTCTGTTTTGTAGTTTAATTGTTTTTTCTATTTGATGGTCTTCTAGGTTTGTTTTTTAGTTGCATTCTCAATTTTTAATGTTCTTTGTTTTTTGTTAATTAAATTGTTTAGAGTTAAACATTTTATCCTCTGCTTTATTAGATCCCCAAAATGTTGGTATGTTGTCTCATTATTGTCATAATCTTTTCTTTTATTAATTAATTAATTAATTAACTTTTAGTTTTCAACATTCACTTCCACAAGATTTTGAGTTCCAAATTTTCTCCCCATCTCTCCTCTCCCCCCACCCCAAGATGGAGTGGATTCTGACTACCTCTTCCCCCAATCTGCCCTCCTTTTTATCACCCCCCCTTCTCTTATCCCCTTCCCTTTCTATATTCCTGTAGGGCAGGATAGATTTCTATACCCCATTGCCTGCATATCTTATTTCCCAGTTGCATGTAAAAACAATTTTTAACATTCATTTTTAAAACTTTGAGTTCCAAATTCTCTCCCTTCCTCCCTCCCCACCCATCCTCACTGAGAAGGCAAATAATTCGATAGAAGTTATACAGTTGTAGTCATGCAAAACACTTCCATAATAATCATGTTGTGAAAGACTAACTATAATTCCCTCCATCCTATCCTGCTCTCTCATTTATTCTATTCTCTCCTTTGACCCTGTCCCTCCACAAAAGTGTTTGCTTCTGATTACCCCTTCTCCCAATCTGCCCTCCCTTCTATCATCCCCCCTCTCTTATCCCCTTCCCCCCTATTTTTTCTGTAGGGTAAGATAGATTTCCATACCCAATTGAGTGTGTATGTTATTCCGTCCTTCAGCCAAACCCAATGAGAGTAAGATTCATTCATTCCCTCTAACCTCCCTCCCCTTCCCCTTCACTGTAAAAGCTTTTTCTTGCCTCTTTTATGTGAGATAATTTACCACATTCTACCTCTCCCTTTCTCCTTCTCCCAGTATAATTCTCTCACCCCTTAATTTTATTTTTTACATATCATTTCTTCATATTCAACTCACCCTGTGCTGTCTGTCTGTATATATATTCTCTCCAACTACCCCAATACTGAGAAAGGTCTCATGATTAATATCATCTTTCCATGTAGGAATGTAAACAGTTCAACTTTAATAAGTCCCTTATGATTTCTCTTTCCTGTTTATCTTTTCATGTTTCTCTTGAGTCTTGTATTTGAAAGTCAAATTTTCTATTCAGTTCTGGTCTTTTCATCAAGAATGTTTTTGAAAGTTCTCTATTCCATTGAATGTCCATTTTCCCCCTGAAAGATTATACTCAGTTTTGCTGGGTAGGTAATTCTTGGTTTTAATCTTATCTCCTTTGACCTCTGGAATATCAAATTCCAAGCCCTCTGATCCCTTAATGTAGAAGCTGCTAACTCCTGTGTTATCCTCATTCTGTTTCCACAATATTTGAATTGTTTCTTTCTGACTGC